AAATCAAAGCCACAGAAGCTTGCCTTTCCCCCTGTTTTTAAAACCAACTCCTAATCCTTTTTCCTTTGGCTCTGGAAATTTCCATTCTTCCTCTGATTCAAAGGAATGAGAGATGAATAAACATTCTCCAGGAAAAAATTTATAAACTAAAAAAATCCACATTCAAAATAAAAACGCACAGCTCTCCTAATACTGCTAGCACTGCCTGTCATGTCTGCAAAGTGATATGAGTGTGGGATGGGCAGAAAGATAAATTACACAGCATGAGGCTCTGTTCCCTGAGTGTTCTGACAGTGAGACTGCAGACAGAGTAGGAGGGAGCCAAAAACGCCTGCCAGAGACAGCCTGCGCACTCGCTGTTATTTCGTCTGTGAAAAAAAGGAAAGCAGCTAACCTGAGCAATGCATCTGCTGCTATGAAAAGGTTAGAACAGAGCAGAGTGTTCTGGATACTGCTTCTGCCCAAATAAAAAATTATTCTTTTTCTTCCTTGTCTTTTTCAGCTGTTGCTTGTCTGCACTCTGAATGGCAAGATCTCTGCTCACAGGTCTTAGGAGAAGTTGCATGCAATAGCACAATTGAGTTCATAATAAAAAAAATTTAAAAAGATAGATGTTTGCCTAATTTTCTCCACATGTACTCTATTTTCTTTAGCATAGAACAATCCTAGACTAAATCCTGCAGAAATCCTTCAAAGGTTTAAGTAACTTGGATGTAATATAAGATGCTGGCATAAAGTCAGACCTGTCACACTGGCACAGACAGTGAATGAGAGCGCAGTTCTCAGTAGTAGTTCTTAGTTTAAAACACTGCTCTGTTGCCTTCTTCCTTCCCCTGTTGCTTGCTGCTGCGGGAGAGACTTGGTCTAAGGCATATGAAGTACCGGGAAAATAAGATCCAAAAATTATGGGATGACAGAAGCTGCTTTCTTACACACATATTTTGCAGATGTGCAAAGCAAAATGCACGTGACTGAGCTTTGCCTCAAACACAAAAGTCAGAAGAAACACAAGGGGTGGAGGAATTGCATATATTTGTTTGCCTGACAGGAATCTTTTTTGAATGTGTGTTTGCTTTTGTCCTTTCTGAAAGCAGCAAATGACAATATTTCCGTTAGGAAAGTGGTTTGGGAGTCTTCAAATGATGTCTTGGCTGAATACTTTCTGAAAATGCGTTTGAAAGGACTGCTTTCCTACCCTCCTGCCTGTCTCCCTAGGGAGCAGAGTCTGCGTCACTATGCAGCCTCTTTTCAACGCCATATAGTAGTAACAGAGCTCCATCCAAAAGGAATAGATTCCTCTTCCACTTGTTCTTCAAATGCAGAGAAATAAAATACAAATAGTGACTAAGGAACCTCAGTTCACTGTCAAATTGTATATACTGATCCATAAGGCAGATGGTGGCAGCTGCAAGAGACAACTTTGCAGTTCTTGTTATTTCTCCCTCATTTAGATGGGAGTCCTGCAGCACAGGAATAACCTGTTTGAAGATGATCACACTTCGAGATGAGAGAACAAAAGCAATGGAGGATATTCTGTGAATACAGGAATTCCAGCTGTAAAGGAATCAGAACAATGTTGCCATTTCTATTCAGGGCCAGGCTGATGCATTTCATATTAAAGAAGGACTAGAATCCAGTAGAAAGTAAATTCTTTCCTGTTCTTCCGTGAACAACAGCAAATAAGCTTTTTCTTGCAATGATTTGCTTTCTTTATTGATTTCATCCCATAAATTCTTCAAAGGTACAGCTTATTTTGTATGTAAACACATGTAGTCTCTGTCTTCTCAGCAGCGTGATAGCCTAAACCTGCATCACTCTGTATTTATACTCACTGTGGACTGATAGTGCTGTGGACATTGAGGTGATTGTCAACATTGCCAGGTCTCAAATCAGTAAAATTTACTGATGATTTAAAATGAGCAGGTAGCAGTGGAATTTCTGAAGCACAGCTGAGAGGTGCTTTCAGCAGTACTCTTTAGCTCTGAGGCAAGCTGATGTTCCTGGGCAGCTACCTTTTTTTCATGGTATTTTGCTTAGTGTCAGCTGTGGGTTAAAACCAAGGTGACAAGAATGGACAACACAGGAGTGAGTCATCATGATGGAGGAAAGCTAGTAATTCCTGGAAGGAAAGCTGTTCACATTATCAGCCTAACTGGTGCATGCAGAGTAGTGAGAGTTGAAACTCATCCTGAATGCTTGCAGCTCATTGAAGTTCTGTTTGTTTGCATCCTTGGATATGGACAAATTCAGTGTCTCTTCTTCCCACCTAACAGCACTTATACATCACCTGGATTAAATTTGAGCACTAATCCGTAACGTTCTTTCCTAGGCGTTGTGGTAAAATTCAGTGATGGTAGGGACTGTGTCAGTGAAGGAGGAGACGTATGGCTGATTGTGATATCCAAATTACCAGTTTAGAAATCCATGGTGTTCTGTAGTTTCCCTGGTAGATTGCAGGTAGATATTTGGTCACTGACTACAATATCAGAGCCATTTGTCTATATGGTCACACCATGGTGACCTACTTTTCCATTTTATAATAGTAACTGTGTGAGCATGCAACTGTAATTCTTTACATGTACAGACCTCTCACAAAAGCAACAGTTCTTCAATCAGCTGTAATCTTTTGAGGATTAAATATAAGCAAAAATGAGAAACAAAAATGTTTATGAATCTTTTTTCCATAATTAGAGTGTTCTTTTCAACCTAAGTGCTCTATTTAAAAAAAATAAAAAAATAAAAAAAAATCAGGTGCAGAAGGTGGTGGGAGGAACCTAAGAGTGTAGGATGACTGTGGCTCCCTCATTCTCTATACCTGCATGGATGAGACCAGCTTGTCATTACACTCCTCTGCTTATTTTCTTGTCATTCTCCCTGACCATAAAATGTCATCTGTGTGAAGGGGTGCTGGGAGAGACAGCCAAGTATCCACTTTACTGTTCCACCTTCTGAACACTTATTCACAGTGAGAACAACTGAATACCAGGCTCCTTAGAAGATCATAGAGAAAATGCTGCAAGAGAAAAATTCCGGTAGCAGCACTGCCCTTCATGGTCCTCAAGGTCACAGCCTTTATTCTCAGGCTTTGCTTTGGCTGAAGAAACTTGTGGTAGAGGCAGGCACTGTGGTTGATCCTACCATGTGAATTTACGCAATCTATAATGAACACCCACCCCTTTTGTGGCAGTCCACCTTTCAGCATATGGCAATGGTAAATTCAGCTGGATAAAGAAGTAACGTGAAGTACAGTTTACCTGTACAGAATGTGCTGGGGGCATACTGAAATTTCCAGGTGCATCCCCTTTTATGTAAGAGTAATATAGTCTTTTGCAACCAGGAATCATGACTGAGAGTCAAGAAGAAACACTAACCCATAGTAGCTTCCTACTTATTTACCTCTGAGGTATATACACCAAAGCAGATGCCATAGTCACAGTGCCTCTGCATGTTGACTGATATCGATTTAATGAAAAGAGAAAGAATACAGTGGCCACAATTTTGTAGAGTTTACATTTTCCCTGATGACGCTCCCCATGCAGGAACTTAGCAATGATATATCACTGCTTGGTAAGGACTTGAGACAGATATGATGCGAACCGTGCCATTTGCTAATTAAGCAACAAATAAAAAAATTCAATGGGCGGAACTATGTAATATTTTACTCCAGAAACCTGAACCTAGGTGAAACTCTCTTGGTTTCATGCTTCAGCACAAACTCAGAATACAGGCCATACTTGCCAAAGGTGCCAGTTGTAGGGAATTATGCAGATAGGCGTTTCCTTCAAGAAATGAGAAGCAGAAGGCTCCAAGCCCATGTGTCTCAAAGGGTTAAGTATCACTGCATGGCACACTTCAGGCTCAGTTTTCCAAAAGATTTAATGCCAGTGGCAAAGCACTGGTGGAAAATAGAGCTCAGCACAAACCAAAAGCCATTATATTGTGCTGCCAGTGGTCTTGGAGAATTAAGAATTATTTTTCCTTAATGAGAAATGACCCAGAGGTATAACCTCCTTCAGCTTTGCTTCAACCCTTCCATCTGGCAACCTTCAAACCATCGACGTGGTTTGCCTGCCAAGTCTCAGCACAGTTAGAGCAATCTATCAATCCATGAATTTAACAGAGTGACTGGAAAAGACTTCTGAATTCTGCACTCAGTTTTGTAATAACAAAAGTCAGACCTCAAGCTGGAACCATTTTAAATAGTTCCATGAATCCAGGAAAGTGCAAGAAAGACATGAGATAATTTAATATTGGTGAAAAAAATCTATTTCAAGTCCTGCAAAATTATGATAATCCTTCTGTCCCTTTGCATTAACTATATCAGCCCTCTCTTTTCATGAGAGGGCTTTTTTCACTAGCTCATCTTTCTCTACTGTATCAAACAGAAACTAATATTCCACAATCAAATTCTTTCATCATCATTTTCCACTGCTATCAACTACCTTGCAGAACTGAGAAGTCAATTCCTTTTCCTGGATTAACTCACACTGCCAACATCCATTTTCCACTAGTTGAATTTCCCCTTCAGCCTGGGGTGAGGTTTCCAGCAACACCTGCAAGGTAATCTCCCTGTCCTCCAAACCCTCTTTACAATTTCCCTTCTCTCTGAAGCCTACAACACAATTTGCCAGTGATTAAGCAGTTGGTATGCTGTGATATATTTGTAAAGCTAAGTAATACTGGACTGTTGTCTCCCTCTTCTGTTGTGACTCTCATCTGTTAGCCCTTATGTTTATTTACAATGAATTATCTTTCAGGCAAGGATTATCTTTTTGTTTGTGGTTCCGCACCTAAGCCCCATAAGAAAGGGGGGTGGACTTGTACATTGCTACAGTCTCCAAGTGATACCACAATGCAAATAGTAACAATAAAAAGTGTTTTGTCTATACACAGCCCCAAGGATTTTAAGTTGTAGGTGAACAGTAGTGCCCCTTTTAGTTTGAAAGAGTTCAAATGTTTGAAGTGTTTAACAGTTTATTTCAAGTTTGTAATTCACGTACCTCCTGTGAATTCAGAAGCATGTCCAGGTGATCCCAATCCTTGTAGAACATTTGTTCTTGGTGTATTTTCTCCAGCCACTCCTTTTTCTGTTTCCATTCATTGTATACATTTTCCTTTTCTTCCAGCAGAGCCTGTAGCTTCTGCTGAATCTGAACATAATTTCCAATTAAAAACTCATGTTGGACTTTACATCCCACAGGGCCAGGGGAAGGTGGCAGGAGAAAGGCTTAAGTGAAGTGGTGGGTAAGCCCCTTAAATTGCAACAAAATTATCAAACAGAAAAAAGTAGATCAAATTTTAGCACTTATATTTGGGCAGAGAGATAATCAGAGGTGCCCGATTTCAGGAATGGAGGAATGCTTCTTACAGCATATACGCAGTCCAAGCCAAGAGCAAAGAAAGGTAACTGTTTCTCAAGTGTACCTTCTAGAATCAAATCCTAATTCTCTTTATCTTTAGTCATAACAGTGCAATTATAGCACTTCAAATTGGGATAGGACAGATACTTAAATAAGCTATCAACATAGCATATTCTCCTAATCACTGAATACAACCTTCAATGTTAGACTTCATGTAATTTCAGCTTCTGAAGTTTGTATATCCACAGGCCATCTCTAAATTATTTTTTCCTATATTTTTCTACAGGCAAAGGACTTTACAGTCAGGAAGATTTCTGGTTACTATAGTAATACATTGCAATATTCAACAAATTTTCAGAAAATGGCTTGGTGAGTAATCTGCACGAACTCAGCAGTTTTCTGAAGATATTCAAGTGACATGTTAATGAATTGTCAGGGGAGAAGTAAACTAGTAAGTACTGGAAAAGAAATAATGCTGTGAGAATCTTAGAAGCTATTTGTCTTGAGTAAACAGTCATCTTTCATTTCTGGGGAGTTAAATATACTAGCATAATTCATTACTACAGAAAATGTTTCAATTAATCCTTAAACTCTCTCATATGTTTGAGTGTTTTCATTCTTTGGTTGACAGGTTTTTGTCCAGCCTGGTCTGCTATAGATATAGCACTGTAATGTGAAGCAGAGTATTTGTGTGAAAACCCAGTTTGGGAAGTGGGTAGAATTATCTCCATCGCTCAGAACATCATGAACTTTGTGAATAAGCTTTGCTGCAGTGGGCCCTCAGGCGATGCCAGCACTCATCTATTGCTGAGGCAGGACACAGAACAGACGTTTTTGTGCCCAAGCTAGGTAACACACTGAGGAAAATGTAGGTCATGCACATGGATATGTGTGAGTGTACACACGCATTTGTATGCTTACAGCACAATATAGTATAGAATGATAGTTAGGCTGGTGTTGAGTAGCTGAATGTGCGTGACTGAACTCGAATGAGTTTCAATTACCTCTTTTGATCCTATTTCCTCATCTTGCAAGAGAGACTGCCCTAGCTGTACAACATGATTATACTTCTCTTCTCGTGCTTCAATCTCTGCCAGTAGCTGTTGATGCTGGGTAAGTCTCAGGCTGCTAGTAGATATGTCCCGAATAGTCTCCTTGGCTCTCATTTCCCTTATTATTTCTGCTGTCCATGAAAAATAGTCCCATACCTGGAACCCAAGAAAACATGAAAGTTGAGGTTAGAGCTCAAGCTTGGGTTATCAGACAGGAAAATCATAACTTGACTGTTCAACTTTAAGTGACTAATAGGTAATAAAATCACAGGTAAGAAAGAAAATATTTCATTAGGTCTTAGAGTACTTCTATGAATTTTAACAAGGGTGGATAACACGACTGTAGGAATTTCTACATACTGTGCTAAATCATACATGTTTTGTAATACCATATTCATAATCAAACTGTATCATATCACATCAATAACAGCATGCTATAATTTATTGCCCTTTAGTCCATCACTCCTTAAGTGTTTTCTGGTGTTATTCTTTCACAGAGGATAAAACAATATCACCCTACTTTTCTGTGATTTAGCTTTGGCTAATACTAGTCTGTTCAAAACTTAAGTTGCACACATATTCTAAAATGAGACTTAGAAGAAAAAACAAATTAGCTCAGTCTAATAGAGGTGGAAAAAAGGCAAATCACAGATCAGAAAAAAATTGCTTAAGCATATCAGGTATGCAAATTCACCTCCTGGTTTTTGGTACTATATGACTGAGACTGGCACAGAGACACAGTTCTGGAAGGAACAAGGATGTAATGCTAGTTTACTTTCAAAATCTGATGAACCGGTAAACATGTTTACAATATCTTAAAATGTCTGAAGCATTCAGCTGATACAATTATGGGCAGGAAAATTCTTAAACAAATCCCTGAGAGTTATTTTCTGACTGTGACTGAAGAAACTTGTGCAAGTAAGAATAATTTGACTTTTTCTGCATGTCTTTTTCTGCACTTGGTTCTGCACCTTCACCAGTCCATTTACTTTAGGCATCTCAATTGAATCTGTAATAGGTGTTTTGCTCTTATGTGTCAGTTGGTAAAAAACAGGACTGCAAGGGACTGTACCAAGGATTATATGAGATGATTAATTAAGTTTTGTTATAGTTTAATTGTGTTTGGATAAGTTGATTCAATTCTGAGATGGTAAATGGTCTTTTAGTTTTTAAGTGTATTTTAAAAGACTGTTATGTATAGTAAATGCTGAAGAAAAATGCTCTTTTACTGTAGAGAACTAAAAATTTTCTTTTGTGAATGGCTGATGGTTTTTCTGCTGAAGGAAACTATGTAATGGAAATAGCTTCTTGCCTGTTCCATTTTACCCATGGATTTTTATCCCTATCATCAAAATTTTGTACAGCTCAAAGCTGGCTTGTGAACCATTCAGCCAGAAAAAAGTATTTTCAGAAAAGCACCACAAAATTGAAATTGGCCAATTTGGGGCCCTAAGACTTTAGGCTTTAAAGACAGGATACTATATTCTCAAAGCCAGTGAAACACAGCTACTAAATGACAGTGAACACAGCTACTAAATGACTCTTTAGAAGTACTGTGGTCCTTTTAAAAGGGCCCATGTAGTGCACATGTGTTGGCCTCATTTTGATTTGCAGAACTAATTCACACACAGCCGGATGTCACTGTAGACACTGACATTGCACTTGGCACTGCAAATGTCTAAGACTCCCTGAGAATTTAAGCTAGGCATTAGGAAAACTTCATAAATCTCAGGATATTTAATGCAATGGAACAAGTCAAGAGCCAGTAAGAGGTTATTGGACTGCCACTTGCCAGCAACATTTAAGAACAGACTAGGCATCAGTCTGCAAGAAACTCCTAGGCAAACTTCAGAACAAGAACCTCAAACCATTTAGAAATGCTTTGAGTCTATGTTTAAATTCCTCTTCCTTGACAGAGTTCTTTGGAAGATTTGGAGCCCTCTGCTGTTACTGTGTGTTGTCAGTTAGGGCCAGCTCTGCTATTTAATAAGACTAAAATTGTACTTGATGGGATGCAAAGAGATACACTAAATGATTGTGCAGAATTCTCATTTTGTGGAAAGGCTGATTTGTTTTTGTTTCACTTCTTAATCTGTGTACAATTTCATAATGAAAAAGCCCCATGGACTGCATATGGACAATACTAATGAAAAAAGTACACTGAACAGCTGTGACTAACATTAAGTTTGTGGGCTTCTTGGCATGGCTGAAAGAGGAAAGAGAGCAAAGTTGCCTCTTTGTGCTCAGCAATCTGGGGGATGTTCTGCTACAAAGCTGCTCTAACTTATCCTAGACGTACTGAGATTCTTATGATCATTAGAGATGGCTATTAGAGGTGGCTAAACTCGTCTTGTCCCATCTGGGCAGGAAGATGAGTTTACCTAACTTGCTGAACCAGCTCTTCACTTCTTCAGGAATTATTGTCAGGAAATGAGGTGAAAATTGAGAGGATAGAATGGTAGAATCATTTAGGTTGGAAAAGATCTTTAAGGTCATTGAGTCCAACCGTAAACCTAATACTGCCAAGTCCACCACTAAACCATGTCCCTAAGTGCCACATCTACATGTCTTTTAAATGTCTATCTGTCTTCAGGGATGGTGACTCAACCACTTCCCTGAGCAGCCTGTTCCAATGCTTGATAACCTTTTCAGTGAACAAATTTTTGCTAATATTCAATCTAAACCTCCCCTAGTGCAACCTGAGGCCATTTCCTCTCATTCTATCATTTGCTACCTGGGAAAAGAGACCGACACCCACCTTGCTACAACCTCCTCTCAGGTAGTTGTAGAGAGCGATAAGGTCTCCCCTCAGCTTCCTCTTCTCCAGGCTAAACAACCCCGGTTCCCTCAGCCACTCCTAAAACTTGTGCTCTAGACCTTTCACCAGGATCAGGAATACTTCTTGCCGGCAGACTGACATCAAAGAGACAAGGAAATGTCTGAGGCATAATCCCATCTAGGCATGTCACTGAGAATACAGTCACCTGGCTTTGTCATTTTGTTTTATGATATTAAGAAAGCACCTTAATGACTGTGTAGCCCTCTCTGTTAAGCACTGACAGATTTATATCTTTTTAAGGTGTTCATTACTTGTAAATTTATCAATGTAGATGAACAGACACACTGTAAGAAATGGGCTATAGATTTGCCATTCAGATCACAGGATACATTACAGATTTCAGACAAAATTCAAACCAAAGCTATTTCATATGGTTCCAATAAAAAGAAAAAAGCACCCCTACTAACAGGACATTTTTTATCTGAAGTCAATAACTAAATTTATGACATAAGTTATGAAACAAATCAATAACAATGTGACTCTGTGCAGCTATGTTTTAATGGATAAATCCATCCAGATCCAACTCTTGATGAAGATGATCCCAGGCTGAAGACTTCAAGAGTCTAATACATACTCGAAGAAGTTTGCCTTGTTCTTACTATCATCCCTAGATCACTGTCAGAAAGACAGTGGACAAATGAACCTTTCACCTATGTCAGTAGAGCCACTCTAATTTTCCTTAAGTCATATTCCAAGTAATTTTATTTCCTCATCAACAGTTCTGCACAAGGTAATGGATTTTTAATAGTTAAAAAACAAACCAACCAAACCCTCAAAAAACCGAAGTGCCATAAGCAGCCTTTATCTCTAACTGTACAATACATTTTTGGATGAAATATGACAGGTAATGGTGATTTGAACCCTTTTAAGAGACTTAAAGTGGATTAGCCTAACATGCAGAAGCCTCTCATGCTAACACAAAAGCATCACGTACACTCTAGTTTGGTCTTCGTCCCAGCTCATAACCTTAAGACAAGCTTGTGTGAAGGTTTTTTCCAGGTGAGCACACTCTGGATATTCTCTGCTTCTCACCAAACATGAAAACACAATGTGAGCTACCAGACATATCTTTGACACTGAAGTTACACCTGGAACAGTTCAAGAATATGAAGAATGTAAAGGTATTCTAGAAATCTACATTAGCAACATCCTTCATGATAAAAGGGGGCACACTTGCTACTTTAGTACCTGCTACTGTAGTACTTGCAGCAATAATCTACTAATTTGCAGTGGTGTAGCTCAAGTGCCTTCATTGAGACTATTGACATTCGCAAAGTATTCTGTGGCAAATCATAGCTCAGTGACCTACTGAGTTCTTTGGAGAGAAAACATTGTGGATGCTGATATTATGCTGACATATGCATGTCACTATGTTTAAGCAACTTGAGAGGTTACTGCAAACACCAGCGAGTTCTATTTTATATATTACATGAAGTTAACTGAGTGTTATTGCATGCCCTGAGAGAGAGAGAGAGAGAGAACAAACTTTTATCCATTATAAATGGAAGTCTAACATCTACTTTTATCAATCTTACCCAGTGGGAATTGAAGAGTCTTTGAAAAGACTACTGTTACTCCTGCAAAGTGATGGCCATTTCTGACAACTGTCAATTATCCTATACACAGTTGTATACGAGCTTCCCTTCCTACAGGGGAAGATCCTTATCCTCTACCACCTTTCTAAATAGCTACAAGTACTTAAATACTTGATTAATAACACAGATAGCACCTGCAGCCTTTTACATCAACCTTTGCAGCTTGGAAGTACACCTGTGATTCAAACACATTGAAGGCAGCTTTCCCCTGTGTACCAATGGACAGAAGGCAGAAGTGCTTACATCTGCTTGAAACTGGTAAAGCATGTATGCTTGTTCCAGAAGTTTCTTGCGCAGTTCCACCTTAGACTTCAGGGCCTTCCAGTTGGTCACTATTGCGTGCTGCTTTGCTTTCAGGTCTTCCACCTGTTTCTTTGAGCAGTGAATCAGCACATGATCTGCAGAGTGGATCAGCTCCTGCAGCTATACACAGGAATAAAAGAAGAGGGTAGGAAAGAGAGAGTCATAGAGATCCAGCTAGTATCAGAAAAGTTATGATAAGGGTTATGTTAATTGTACATGAAACTACAATTCAGGCAAAATTTTCTGACCTAACTTTTCTCATGCTAAACAAAAACTTCCCCAATATGTTCTATGGAATAACAGTGACATCCAGTGTTTGCTAAGGCTCATCACAACAGTGATTTTTCAAATAAGCAGACAGATCTTGTTTCTCCTTTTTACGACACCATTTAGTACGAGTAATGCAAATAATAGCTAACCATACCTTGTTTTCCCCAATGACCATATAGATTAACTGTGACTACATTATCTTCATGCATATCTCATGCTCTTTTACCTTTAAAAGCAGCTGATGGGATCAATTCTAGTGTTATCTGCCATAAGGCCAAGACATGAGGCCACTGATAAGTAATAATGGGTTAACTACTTCAGTAATCTAAATGTAACACATGCTGTGTTAACTATATCATTAAGTCTTCTGAATGAAGAAAGTCATTCTGAAAGAAAAGTCATACTAGTTTTAATGATTTAGTCTAGGCAAATCTCCTATATACAAGGAAGCTTTCTAAACAGCTGTTCTCATGAGTTGAAACTTTCCACAAGTTTGTATAATGAGCCCTATCCTTTCTCACAGACCAATTCCTACACCAGTAAACTTGTCGAAAATTTCAGACTACTGCCCCATCCTTCCTTCTATAATTCTCTATAGTCTATAAATGCATTTTGTGTTCAATGAGTATTCAGTTTCTCTGCACATAGAACAGATTCTGTATTTTTGTTGTAATAACCTGGAACACTTTGAAGAAGGCAGTAAACACATCATAAAGCCTGGCATAATCAACACATTTATCAATATATTTCAAAAAGTGATCAAAAACATCCCTGTGAATTACTTCAATAGCCAGCACTCATTATAATATATCCCTTATTTTGAAGATTTTAAATTACCTACTTTATGACTGCCATCAGACTTGAACATATTAAAAAAGCAGAAGACTAAGGAAGATCCTTAGAGATTTCCAGGCTCTCACAGAAAGCCTGTAATAATTTGTTTCACAATACCAAATTATTGCTATGATTGTCTTGGAAACTTGAATTTTGGTTATACAATTAAAGACCACAAATGACTTTCATTACCTGCTGCTCATTCCCAGCGAGCTCATGCTCCAGGGCCACATGGTTCCGGAGCTGTGTTTGCACACCTCTCATGTCCTTAGCAACATCATCAGGAATACTTTTGGACTTCTCCTAGAAGGAAGAGATCAGAGAAAGCTTTGTTACTTTCTACTTCCAAGCAAAACATACTACAAGCCTACTTTAGTAATTTTGTGTAGTGCAACTCATACTGCACAGTTAAGGACATCCTGGGTTACTCAACTATGACAGGTAAAAGGAAGCCAGAAATATCTGTCCTAGTAACTCCCTTATAAGTATCTTAGTGATTAAGCTGTCCAACTGGACTGTGTGAGATGAAGGTTCAAGTCTTTCTCTGATCAGACAATGCAGGAGAATGTCTTACAGGCTTTGAGTTGGGAGTCAATCTTGAGTAGGTACTGCAGTGACATAGAGTGAATTCTTAAAGTAGCATTAACAATCAACATTTTCAGGCCATTCTTTGGGATATAGGTGGTCTATCTGTGAACTATCTTTAGATAAAAATTTAGTTATACATACTCAGGAAAGATTAATGTAAAGATGAGAGAAATGGAGAGACTATCACATAGGAGGAGACTTAAACATTTATTTAGGTCAACAAAGGTTCTGAGGGGATTTAGTTGTTACACAGGCATGCACTGGGAACACAGCAAGTAAAAAGAAAAGGCATTTCAGTTGGAGGACAACACTGGTGCTAGAATAAAATTATTAGAAACTTGCTCCAGGTCAATTTAGATGAAAATTAGAAGAACATTTCTAATCATTGGAGAAGTGCATTTCTGTAACAGATTCACAGGCTGGTTTGGGGTACCACCTGCATCCTGGTAAGGTGCTGTAAAAGGAGATGCATATTGTAGTTGCCTATGCTATGATGGCACTGGAGTTGGTGACTTGAGCAAGATCTTCTAGTACTATGTTCTTTTAAGAAATGGCTTTCCTTGGTAGACATCTGACCAGGGTTCACAGGAAGGGATGGGCAAGATGACTGAATTGTTCTCCCACTCAGTAGTGAAGCTTATTAACAGGATGAGGTGCAAGAAGTGTGTATTGGTTGCCTGGACCAAACTCAGCACGGGGATAAACCAACAGCTGGTCTGTGAAGTGCTTCTGAACTATCACTTGTCACTGCCACAGAATTAACTACTTCATCATTGAAGTTAAATATACACCAGGTTCTGAAAACCCACGGTATACAGTGAAACATTATGTCATTTGATTTTCCATTCATGACAGGGAAAGAAAACACGAATAACATAGTTGAATAGGGCAGCCTAAATCTACTGCGTGTAACCTAACAAAGCCCTGTTGCCTTGCAAACAATGGAAGCTCTGTTGGATCACTGCCACCTGTATACATCTGCATTAGGGAAACCACACCTCTTATTACAGCAAGGATGCGGTTCCTCTGTGAAAGACTTCAGGATGCTCAGATAAAACAGAAAGCTGAAGACTTTCATCTTTCATCATCACCCCAGTTTTTACACTGGGACTGTTTGAAATTATTGCCAGTACTGGGTGCTGAAATGAGAGGTAAAGATTTTTGGCCCATCTTTCTGCATCAGGTCACATGGCTGCCTGACAACCTTCCAGGTTAACTGTCACTGCAGACAAATGCCTTGTTCACAAGACAGTTCTTTCTTCAGCACATAAAGCTACAATGGTGTACAAAGAACCATCACCGTAAGGCAGTAAACAGTTTCTTAGGCCTGATGACTGCAAACAACTTTACTATATGCATTGCACTGTGAGACAACTTAATTCAAGCCCTGGTCTTCTCAGTTTATCCCACAGATCAGCAACTCTAGCTGCACCTGTTTTCACCAGTGGTTCTCATAACATGACCACTCAGGCATCTAAGGATTACCCAGGATTATTTTTTTTAACACTTTGAATAATCACACAGGTTTCTTCTGAAATTTCTTTTGTAGTCAGCAGTAAGCACACTGAAAATCCTAAGAATACACCACAAATTAAGCTGAAATGAAGTTTGCATTATATGAGACTTTCCCATTATTTTTTACCTCAATATGGGCCAGAGCATCTGTTAGATCTTGGTAACACATGTGAATCGCCTCAGCATCTCTCAGCCGCTCACCTCGTAATCTGGTAATTTCCAGCAGCTCCTCCCAGGAGTTCCTGCAAGGGAGGATGAGGAAAAGAACCATGTAAAACATTCAAACTACTAGTAAAGGAGACTAACAGTCCGAAGAAGGACTGAAAACAAGACCTCCTCTTACTTTGTTTTTTATTCCTGCCATTAAATTCTGTTGGGGTGATTCTCTGAGGGGCAGCATGTCTCTCACCCTACTCTGTCCATGTCCTCCTGTCTACTCCAGGCACTTAAATAGATGGTCCTATATAAGGGTCCCCTTCTCCAATAATATGCTTTTCAGGTTTTATATGCAGGACTTGGAGGACTGAGTCAGACCCTACTATTCCTTCATGCTTCTCTTTTGGGCCAGTTTGGACTGATGCCAGACATAAGAAGTTCAGAATGTCTTAATGTTGTTCTGCAGAGCAGTCATGGGATTCAAACTCAAAAAACAGAAGCAATAAAGAAGCAACTAAACCCCTAGCCTTTCAGTTAGGTGATCCTGTTTCAAAGGCCAAAGGAAGTTCACTCCCCCCCTACTTGTAAAGCACCTCTGATGCAATTTACAAGAAACCAAATCAGCAAGCAGGTAATTTCTGCATTATAGTAGTCTATTTTTAAATGAGGCATGGCAGCAGCTCTGTATCAGTGAGCAAACCACATATTTTGCAATTAGAGAATTGGGAGGACATGCCTTATCCTTTTCTAATTCCTTCTCACTTTCTCCTCGAGAGCGAGTTGAAAGGACAAAGCATTATAAAAGCTAACACAAGTCTCCTACCTTAGCTCTTTCTGCTTGTGCCGAATTTCCCGGGACTCTGAATGCAAGTTGTCTGCCAGCTGCTGGCAAGCCATAACTCTCTTCCCAGTTGCTTCCAACTGGTGGCGGAATGTGTCATATTTGGTGCAAAGTTGCTTTTGAAGGAAAAACAACAGTAACAAAAAAGGCATTTTGAGTGCTCTCTTTTCCCAAACATAACTGTTCAGCTACCAGAGCACAGCCAAAAGATAGGTAATAAGCTGGTCATATTCAGAGATGGACAAACTGCAGAGAATGTCTGGATTTTACCTCCAAAGACCACAAGGAGCTACAACTATTAGCAAAACATGAGGTTTGTAATGCAGAGGGGAGGCAGGAACATTATTGCTAGAGATAGGAACAAACATTCAATGTACAATGAATTTCAATTGTTAAATGACATGTTTTCACTTCATGAATGCAAATGTGTACTCAGTACTATAACTGGATAATGTAGTCCAATTTTAAGATTTAGGACACGATGTTTTGAAATAAAAATAATTTCATTTGTGATTAAAAAAATCTTTAATGGACATCACACTGAAATCTCTGGTTACTGAAAATAGAAAGGAGTTGGTCTCTGAAGGTGTAGACATTTTAGCATGCAGTTGTTTTATGCAGCTCAGCCCCCATGGTAACAGGATTTAAGTGTTAGGCAATGCTGCCTGCCTGTCATAATGAGTCAATCCTTCCCACACACTCTTGACCCTTTTCTCTTCCCATTCCCAGTTATTTATACTTATTTCTTACTCTGTCTTATAAGTTTTCAAGGACAACCTTAGAATTTTTTTACAGTCTCACCTCATTCAGTTTGTTTGGTTTTTGACCTGTTACTCAAAAAACTCACCAAGACATGTTCATAATTATTTCCATAGTCTTCAGAACTGGCTGTTTGTTTCTGCTGAGTGATCCAGTCTTGCAGATCTTCGTATTCTCGTAGAAATTCATGCAAGACAAGAGTCTCATCCAGCTTCTTCCCTCTGTTGGGGGAAGAAAACAAGACAATACAAGTAGACCAAGGGAACATAAGAGAAGGACAATCAGTAACTTTCTTCCTATTAATCCCCAAAACCTCTCACCATCAAGACTTACTCTTTTTAATGAAGGGCTGACTTTATTTCTCAAATTGGAAATTATGTTTGTAGGATGACAGCTGTCAGCCAGGTCAGACTCACTGGCTGAGTTTCCCAGAAAAGCACTATGCCTAGCTCAGGTCTCCACCTGTTTGTTTTTTTCTTTCTTTTTTTTTCTTCCCATAATACCCTTCATTTTTTTCCAGATCTATCCTGATCTGCCTCTCTAAATGTAATTGTAGTACTTATGAAAATGAGAAGGAAATCTTTCTGAGGATGATGCACCTGGAAGGCAAATGCTATGAAAGCTATTTGATGTCATTCTGCTCATATTGCCTCTTCAGCAAAATTGCTGCAACCTGCTGCGTATTTCTGATCTTCTAGAGAATCTTATAATACAGCCTGACATATTACAGGCCTTCCACAGTAAAAAAAAAATACCAATTTTCCATCTGCTAACACTGACTGGCCATTGTGCAAATATTCTAGGAAAGATGAACCTGGCTTCCCTGTTTGAACCACAGATGCTCATCACAAGATGCTCATCACAAGAGAAGTAGCCTGCTGAGAGAGACCCACCAAGGACAATGCAGATGAGAGGTAGAAATTAGAGCATCAATAAGGCACCATGAGACCCAGGTCAACATTAAACATAAATGAACACAAAACATTTCTGTGTTCAACATACACAAACGTTTTGATATTTCTAGATTGAGTATTCCTTTTTCTGAACTTTTCATTCACAGGATTTTCTCTTGATGCTTTTACTTTTTTAATTGTAAACAAGAATAAAAACAAAAGGTAAAATATCATAATTTCCTCTAGGCTTAATTATTCTAGTATTCAGATTAATTTATTTGTTATTCTACTTGCAGAGCCCCATTCCTTTCCCAAGTGAAATTTTTGTGGAGGAAAAGCCTAAACTGTTCAGATATTTGTCCCTTCCTGGCAACAAACCAGAAGTGTTTAAAAATCCTGTGTACAAGCAAATTGTCCTGTTGTAAACATCTTACTGTAACAATAACAGAAAGGAAGTGAAATTAAAAGTAAATTACTCATTCCAGAATAAAACTGTTCCTATACTAGCACAGCCACTGGGCATAAAGATAAGTGTTAACTGTAATTGTCTCCCTTCTGCTATGTAATGAACTAAGTAATTTTCTGGCAGCTTTAAGGAAACCTTTTAAAAACATCTTTTTCCTTTTGATAGCGGATTCCAAATACCACAAAGGCAAGTCACAATCCAGCGTCTCAAGTCACTTTACAGGAGTATGATGTAGCAAATACGTAACATGTAGCAAAACTCCCTGAATAAAATGTAGAGTTCTTGCTTAACAATAATGGAAAGCTCATAGGTGCACAGAATTCTAATATAGAAACAGGCAATTTCCTAAATACAATTGAAAAAAGAGGAGATAATGGATATGATATACATTCCGGTGAGGTAACTGGACTTCAGTGGGCTTTGAATCAAGCCTAGGATCCAAGGGGCAGTTCTAGTTTATACCTTGCTGCTGCTAGTTCCTGCAGCTCCTGGAGTCTTGAATGAACTTGTTCCTTTGGTCCATCAACCTCAACATACTGGATGGAGCCCACAAGAGGAAGAGTTTGGGCACTTTCACTCAGTTCTTTCATCAAATTTTGGTAAACGGCAATCTCATGCTCCAATGCCTGGTAAAGAAAAGAGTTGATTGAGAACCAGTTTTCCAAGATACCCACTATTTGAACTTTTTCACCAGCCTATGGTGTAGTAATTGAGATATTAAAAGAGGAGAAAAACTTTTCTGGAAGCGTGCAATATTTCCAAGACTTGGTCGATTTCAGATCATTATCTAGCAACAATTTTTGGAAAAGATGTGCATATAATTTCAAACAAATTAGGTGAATAAAGACAATCAGAAATTCCTAACACATTATTAGGCAAAGTATTCCTGGAATAATACTCTATCTGTATCTTTGACTGTAAGGAAAAAACATAAGGCTTCTGCATGCATCTGTTGTGACTGAAAAGCAGATATCAGATCATAGTCAGTTTTGGCCTCAGAAAAATAAGATGAGAATATTCACCATGCTCCTTTTTCCCCAAACTGCATTTTCCCAACCATATTAGTAAGCTGCATTGCTCTCTTCTATCAGTCCATTCACATGTAGACATACATCAATGTGAAATATCTTGTAGATGACTGGACACTTATGTACCAATGAGATAGAAAATTTTACAACCACAGAAGATCAGGCCAGTGTACAGAATTTAAGCAAAGAAATACCTTATGTTTCTTAAGGAGTTTCAGTGTTCCATCTTCATCTTTACCATAGTCCTTGCTTGTCACAAGTGGATGTTTTTCTGCTATCCAGGCCTCCAGGTCTGAAGTATTCATTAAAAACTATCAGTTAAAGAGAAAGCAAATTAGTTTCTGCCTCAACTTTCAAAATATTCATGTCATTTTTTTGATGTAAAAAATTCCAAATGGAGTGTGCACTGTAAGATTTACTGTGATGTTTTATTAAGGAACAAATAAAGAATATTTAATTCCAAGAACTACTATTCCACACTGTTGTTCTGTCAAATCATATGAAGTCTTCCATAGATGGAAGACTTCAGTACAGGATAACTAAGGTCTTCTCCAGGCATCAAAGCTCTGTCAGTAAGTTTCAAGTTGTCTCACTTTTCTTTCTTCACATCACTATCTTTGTTTGACTCTCACTTACCTTATTCACTAAGGGTAGGGGCTAACTGTGTAACATCAGTGTGATAATTCTCCTTCCCCTTCCTGAGAAGTTCAAATCACCTATAAGAATCAGTCTTGAAGCCTATAGTATGGACAGCTGTTTTTATAGATGGAGGAAATAAGAGCCAGAGGATCCGCAGGGAACATACTTTAGATGGCCCTCTGGGCCTCTGAACTCTTTGCAAATGCTGTTTATGTCTACAAAACTGCATGTGTTATCCAAATAACTGCAGTCCTACATGACCCACTGATGACAGAAAATTTGGATTATAGAGATAAATATTTGCATGCAATTTTTTTTAAACAGGATAAACATAAAAGTCCAGTATCCTATTGAAAATAATAGGGCCAAAACTCACTCTGAGAATGAAAGACTGTTATCAGTTTCTCAGTATCATTTTGTTGCCTGGAACAGGCAAAGATTGGATGCCACATGAGATCCCTTCTTTTCTTATTTCTTTGTCATAATTCTCCAGTATGAAGGGCCAGTTCAGGATCCACTGCATTACTTAAATCAAAGCCAGAGGCTGTATAGAGATACTGAGAAAGGAGCTACCGCTGGGTGAAATGTGTATTCTACACACAACCATGAGGGATGGGTACAGAGTCCAAGGCAAACCTCTAAGAGCAGCAGCTCTAGACTGGGGGCTGCATTCAGCTATGCAACCCAACCATGCATCCCCATGAGTCTGGCCTCAAGCAACTGAAGTGAATACCAGTCCCAGCAAAGCAGTTTTGCTATTCACTTTAAAACTTTGGCCCTCTTGTTTGTCTGAAGAAGGTACTGTGTAGAGCACTTTGCTGTAATTTGTACCTCCTGGAAGCCAACTGAGTGTTGCAGCTGCTTCATCCTTTCCTCACAGGCCTTCTCCAAGCCCTTCCAGGCAGTCACAAGCTCTTGGCATTTCTCACTTATTTTCTGAGCTGATGGGTGCTGGCCTGCAATCATTGTCTTTCCTTTATCCAGGACCCGCTGGACTTGCTGTTTGTGGGCATTAACTTCTGCCTGCAGTTCCTGAGAATGAGATAAAAGAAAAAATAGGAATGAAAAAAGGGTTATGTGAGGACAAAGAAATTCTATGTGCTCCTAATCCTAAGCAAAACTGGCAGCTGGTGATGATGGGCAGAGTATAGCCAGTGGACACAAGGACTGTCTGTTTCTACAGCAGCTGCAGCCTCAGCCACCAGTCCCAGCCCTGCTTGTATAATGCTCTGCTCTTGGTGCTGCCACTGAGGAAAGAGATAAGTCTTTAAGGTGGCAGCAGACATCCCTTAACTTCCCTATACCCTCAGCATTACTCACCAAAGTCCTCGGCCTAGTAGTCTGACCTGGTTCTACCCATTCTCCTTACTGTCCATCTGTCCCTTCCCCTACCCAGCAGCCATGAAGGTTTGGGAGAGGGAGCAGGACAAGGGTTGAGACACAAAACT